AATATGGCACACAATGTGTTGTGCATTCATCACTGAGGTCATGAAACTCATTATCCTCTCAAGCAACATACAATAAAGTTGTCATGGCATTTTGAAGGCAGATGAAAAACCCTATAATGGCTGTAGCAGTGCAGGTGGTTTTTTTGTTTTGTTTTCATACATTTGCCAGTTCTGACCAGTTTTACCAATTCCATGAGCTGAAGACAGCAGAGATGCCACTCATATGCTTCTGCCTTCCACTCTTCCATGCTCACAATGACAACCGATGACAGTTAAATCCCACAGTTCCCTTTCCTTTGGGCTTCATGTATTGTATTTATTTGCTTAGGTAATCTGTCTACCCTAAACACTCCTTAATCGGAATAGTTTCCTTTTGGTCTTCATTTAATTTCCAGCAAAGTTCTTTTCCTCCTAAAATACTTAGGAGCTATCTTCCAATCATTACTCAGTAAAAAAAAAACCAAACCAAAAAACCCCAAACATTTCCAATCTGTCTTCATTCTCCCTCCTATACCTACAGAACACAAGCTAGGCAGTGCAACTGGCACTCCTTTTTTGCATGGCCAGATGTGGTCCCCAAAACCCCACCACATCTGTTATGCTGTCCTGCTTCTGGTTCCTCCTCCTGGCTTGTTCCCCTAGTTCCTTCCCACCTTAACTGCTCTTGCTCCTGCATCCTCTCTTCCCTTGACACTGCACAGGAGTACTTGTTATCATGCTTCCAATTATTAAGCACATTTCATGCTGCTCTTTCCTTCCTTTCTACTTTCTCCATTGCTACCCCTGAAGCTCAAGTTCACTAAAATGTATGACCACTGTATGAACTTCTTCACTTCACATCCTTCCACCATTCCCATTCCACATTTCTAACTCCTTGCTTCCTAAAGCATCCCACATTTCAAAAAGGCACTTCTATGTTGCTCAAAGTTATTATTAATCACTCCTGCATTTACTTCCTTTGCGAGTCCTCTCACTTGCTCCTTCAGCATCTCCTTTAATGATTACAGCTACTGCTTTTTTCTCTCTGGGCAAGGTTTGTCAGCTTCCTCCTATTACCCGCAGGCAACATCATCTGCAGTCTCCTATTCCTAAATTAAAATAAGAAATTGAGTACTCTTCTCACTTGTCCCCTCGCCTTGTTCCTTCCAGCAAGCTGTCAACACCTCAAACTCTAAACAGTGAAAATAAAGCAAGAGATACCTATCTTCCCTGTCATGCATGTAGGCTCTTTAAAATTACTCTTTATCTTACCCTCAAAGTCTGTATGTGAGACTTTTTTCTCAAAAAGTTAAGCCTTCCCCCTTCTTCTTCCCAACTACCAAGCCCTTTGTTATCACTGTACTTAAGACAGATGTAAATACTTCTCCTTTCCAGTTAGCTGGAATTCATGTAAATCACTCTATAATCTCTTTTAGAAGTCACATACTACTTTGACATCAGTGATTTTTCTGAATCACACCCCAGGGTAACTTCTTCAATGTGCCCATCCTGTTCATGCCCTTCTCCCTCTTGCTTAAACTTCTGTGCCAAAGCTTGCATCATGCTTAATGCCTCTTATTCCTCCTAAGCCTGCCTTTTCTCTATGCCACACGAGTCACACTGCCACCCAAAGCCAGCTTGCCACTTCAGCAGACTCAAACTTACAGATCTCCAAAGAATTCACATCTACAGTATTCTACAGAAAATTAATTCTTTCTAGGCAAAGATCACTGAAGCCTCAAGTGATCCTCCTCATCACAAACATCATCACAAACATGTGCTGTTCCATACTACAGGCTATCTTATCTGAGCATATAATATATGGAAAATAACTGAATTTATTAATCTGAGAAAGACAGAAAAGATACTCAATAAAAGGACCATTAAGTACCTTTATGTTTGCTAGGTGACAAGGAAAAGAAAAAAAGAGGTACAGTGGTACATCATACCCATCAATTCTCTCATTTTAACACTGCATGCATGATGTGTTTAACAATTCAAACACACAAGTAATAATAGCGTACCTTTATTTTAACACGTGCACTGCACTGATGCAGTAGATACAATGCCAGCAGTCTTCTCTCTGCACAAACTACTATCAATCAAGTTTTAAAATATTTAAATCACATTTCTAGGTGGAAGCAGCATTTAGTGTAAAGAACAGTTAAGAAAACCCTAATGTTAACCACATCTTGGGAACTGCTTGCATAGTGCAGCAATCATAGCTTTTTCCCAACTGGCCTTAAACATAGAAAACTGATCAGCTATAGCAGTTTGCATTTGAAAATTCTAACACAGAGACTTGTTTTCCTTTTTAAAAAAAAATCTACACTGCAGCAACAAATAAATGAAGACCGACGGTGTGTATATATTTGCTCAGAATCAATTCAGCAACTTAAGAAATATAATGTTCAGTGTTTGCTGAATTGTTTTATACTGCATCTATCACTTTAAAAAAAGCCTACATTAAAAAAAAGTTTAAAGAAAAAAAAAAATCCTCCAATTCTCTTCATACTGTATCAGTTGAAAAGGAAAGATTTGTGAGCACTGCTGCCTCTCACCTATCAACATATAATTCAGGTCCCCTGGTCATTCCAGGAGCCGATGACAGAACATCCCTGCACACCCAACATCCCTGTGCTCAGGCAGCTTTGTGCAGCAACACTAAAGAAAAGCTTGCTACAGCAAGCCAGCAAGCATATTAAGTCACTTTCCAGTTCACAAGTTTCTTCGCTAAAAAACAACCACCCCCACTTGTTGTGACTGATTTTTATATCTATCAAGCTCACTCAGGAACATATATGCTGTAAGCCCTGTTCCAGTGAATGCCTGTGTGCTTAATTTCACCTACATGAGTAATCACACTAAGAATTAATGGGAATATTCATGCTTGCAAAGTTAAGGATACACGCTGTTTATAGAACATCTGCATTCATTTGCAGCTATACAATATACTGACTGCACTCCTGTTATCATAAATGAAGGGTCACTACTAGGTCATAGGCAATAATATCAAGGTATTTTCTGGGATGTATACAGAGCTAAAACAATCAGGGAAATGCAAGACAGTTTCCTCTCCTCCTGTGTAGAGGGAGGCTCTGCTCTTTGAGAGTATTTAGGGATGCACAAGCTGTAGGCCATGGAAGAACTGTGCCCCCTGTATATTAAAGGACATTAACTGTAATAATTTAAAACAACAGACTGAAGAACACTTCTATTGGCTCTGCAAACTGAAAGCATTTTAACAGCACAACTGTACAATACAAAAATAATTATACAGCAAATGAAGAGCAAATTTTTGCATGTTTTCCAGTATCACTCTGGATGTTATTATTAAGCCACTCTCCATCATCTTTGAAAGGTCATGGAGAACAGAAGAGGTGTCTGAGGACTGGAAGAAAGCCAATGTCACTCCAATCTTCAAAAAGGGCGGGAAGGAGGACTCTGGAAACTACAGGCCAGTCAGCCTCACCTCCATCCCTGGAAAGGTGATGGAACAGCTCATTCTGGATGCCATCTCTAACATTCTTTTCCTCCACATGCTTATCAGGAGTAGTCAACATGGGTTCACCAAGGGGAAATCATGCTTGACCAATCCACTAGCCTTCTGTGATGGCATGACTGGCTGGGCAGATGACGGGAGAGCAGTGGATGTTGTCTACCTTGACTTCAGCAAGGCTTTTGACACCATCTCCCACGACATCCTTTTGGGTAAGCTCAGGAAGTGTGGGTTAGATGAGCAGACAGTGAGATGGATTGGGAACTGGCCGAACAGCAGAGCTCAGAGGGTTGTGATCAGCAGCACAGAGTCTAGTTGGAGGCCTGTAGCTAGTGGTGCTCCCCAGGGGTCAGTACTGGGTACAGTCTTGTTCAGCTTATTCATCGATGACCTGGATGAAGGGACAGAGCGCACCCTCAGCAAGTTTGCTGATGATACAAAACTGGGTGGAGCAGCTGATACACCAGAAGGCTGTGCTGCCTTTCAGTGAGACCTCAACAGGCTAGAGAGTTGGGCAGAGAGGAACCTAATGAAGTTCACCAAAGGCAAGTGTAAGGTCCTGCACCTAGGGAGAAATAACCCCACGCACCAGTACAGGTTAGGGGTTGGCCTGCTGGAAAGCAGCTCTGCAGAGAAGGACCTGGGAGTCCTGTTGGACAAGTCAACCATAAGCCAGCAATGTGCCCTTGTGGCCAAGAAGGCCAATGGTATCCTGGGGCACATTAGGAAGAGTGTGGCCAGCAGGTCGAGGGAGGAGATCCTCCCCCTCTACTCTGCCCTGGTAAGACCACATCTGGAGTACTGTGTCCAGTTCTGGGTTCCCCAGTTCAAGAAAGAAAAGGAACTACTAGAGAGAGTCCAGTGGAGGGCTATGAAGGTGATTAGGGGACTGGAGCATCTCTCTTATGAGGAAAGGCCGAGAAAGCTGCATCTGTTTAGCCTGGAGCAGAGGAGAGTGAGAGGGGATCTTATCAACATTTACAGATATCTTAAGGGTGGGTGTCAGGAGGATAGGGCCAGACTCTTTCCTGTAGTACTCAGTGACAGGATAAGGGGCAACGGGCACAAACTGAAACACAGGAAGTTCCACCTGAATATGAGGAAAAACTTCTTTACTTTGAAGGTGACAGAGCACTGGAACAGGATCCCCAGATTGGTTGTAGAGTCTGCTTCTCTGGAGATACTCAAAACCTGCCTGGACAGATCCTGTGCAACTTGCTCTAGGTGAACCTGCTTTAGCAGGGAGGTTGGACTACATGATCTCCAGAGGTCCCTTCCAACCCCAACTATTCTGTGATACTCAGCTTTCATGAACAGTTGATGTATGTGGGGGACAGTAGAATTCTTCTTTACATATTATTTAAGAATACAGATCTTAGAAGTGCCTTTTTTGTTTGTTTTGTTTTCATTAACAGTGTGTCTGGAAGAAATCAACCCCCTCCAAAAAAACTAAGAAAATGTTGATACTAGGTGTTGAAGGAAAAAACCATCATTATGGTTCAGGATTAGAGTGTTTATGGAAATACTGCACCTTTTTTTCTACCTTGGAAATGTACAGAAATTCACAGAATGGTTACATCCTTCCAACCTCCTTTCAAGTGGGATCTTTTAAACACTGAAAGCAAAGTTTTAGTCAGTACATAGCACATTCTTTCAAAAATATAACTCTTGTGACAACATGAGAAACAGTTAAAAGAAAAATACTTTTATCTTTCAGAGCAAAACTACAATGCAACCTAGCTTCCACTGATTTTTACACTGCAAGTAAATCTAATTCAGTAAGAGCCCCACACAACACGGTCAATCTGTGGCAATATGACCAGGACTTACCCTACTGAAGTATACATACTTGCCTCAATACATTCAATACTGGTGCACATGAATCTAAATCACACCCATAACTCTTTACCCTCTAAAGGGACCTTTCTTTCTCCATGAACCTAGTGCTTCCCATAAGGTTGAGGAGTATATGCCCACAAGAACCTCACTACACTCAATTTCTTGCACTGTGGTGGGATGGAAAACCAGCTTTAATTTCCATGCTAATAGAGTTCAAAGTGCCTCTATAGCCTACTGTTAAATCCATACCAAAATCCAAATAATCAATACAGCAGCAGCTAAAGAATTCCATGAGGTGAAAGGACAAAGATTCTTCTGCAGAAGAGATTACAGCAATGATGAATGAAACTATAGTAAATAAAAATTTAAGACTACTAGCTTTCTTCTCTTTGCAATGAAGGATTTGGGATATCCTTTCAGAAGATTTCCCCCCCCCCTCTTTTTTTTCAGTTATACCCTTTTTCTCTATATGGAAGCACTGCAGCGTTCATTTAAAAAAAAAATCAAACAAACCCCCCTCCATTCTTAAAAAGCACCACAGATAAAGAAATCTGGTGGAAAACAAAAAAAAACCCCAAAACAAACTCCATGGACCACCCTTCAGGGATGAAATGCTAAAGATGTCTTTTTTAATCAATCAGTTTGTGAAGATCTACAAAAAAATAAAAAGGATCACATTCTAAAGGTTCAGTGCATTCAGCAGCTATATAGCTTTGCTGCTTATTCATCTTTAAGTTGACTTTCAAAAATAACACCCTAGCTCATCAAAATATACATTTTTTCCATTTGCTTTTAAATTAAAATAATAATTAAAAACATTTAAAGAATTCACAATCAATAGCATGAGTAAGTTTCAGGATCATCTACAGCATATAATTTAAAGGTTCAAGATGCCAATATGCAGCATGTGGCAGGCCTATATGCTCCATGCAGCATGTACATTTAGGATAATCTCAAATAATCTTGATGTTCAGATGTCAGTTTGTTTCTTCCAAATAGTGTAGAATACCCATCTGGAGAAAATAAGCAGTTAAGGAAAAAAAGCAAAGTTTGTAGTACATAGTTAAAATGGAAGTAGTTCTTTTCACTTCTGTTTTGATTCTGAAAACTTCTGGTAGCTCATAAAGATGGGGTAGGTAAAAATCTCAAAAGTGAGATCTCCCTGGATCGTCTTTTTGGTTCAG